TTATTTTGTTGTCCATTCATCCTCTGGCTAACTCAAGTAGGAAAATATATTCCAGCCAACCAGTTTGACTAACATCAGTGCGGATCTAGGAATTTCACACTATGGGGCAAAAATAAACCAAAAAAAAATAAAACCAATCATAAACGTATTTTTTTCATACAGATGAACTTCACAAAAAGTTCAATACAAATAAATATCTTAAAAAAACACAATTTTTTGTAAAAATAAACAAATTTTCTATAATTGTCCCGACGAGTTTCATATCTGAAAACTTTAGATAATCATCTCATCGTCAATTGTATCAATACATCTTTCTCAATATAAGTGACCAAACAATCATCCATCTATTGATCTCTCATTCAATTGTGTAAGACTTTTCACAAGATTCATTACAAAAAAAAAAAAAAAAAGGCCCTTTCTACGGTCAGAGTCACATTGGTAAAACCAATGCAACTTTTACAAGCCATACACCAATGGATACAAAATGTTTTTTTAAACCAAACGAATTCTATGCCAAATCACCAATTCCTGTAACTCAGCAAATTCATCACATAATGCATATCAATAACATAAGTCTCAGTCTGGTTTTCAAGTATCATCAACAAGTGCAGAAAAATCAAATGGATAAAACTAACCAAACCCATTCTTCCCTCTCTTCTCTTTTTCCTTTCCTTTGCTTCTTCTTCCTTTCATCTTTATGAGTTTTTTCTCTCTTCTTCTCATTTTGGGCGAACAACCCAGTTTATGTATAAAACAGCTTCTTAGAATTAAAACTGTCGAAAAGTCTCTTATTCCCATGACCCTGCCACATCAACTTTCTATTTTAAAATACTCAGATTGCTCCCCTAGTTCATGCAAACCTTGTAGCTCTTATTACTTTCATTTTCACTCCTAATAAAACTTTAAAAACTAACATACTCCTCTTGCATAAAATAAAATCACAAAAAATATGAAATATATATATTAGGATAAAAATGGGGTTTACAAAAACAAAATCCAAACTTACCGGGGGTCGTTTCATTCCCAAAATCTCAAAGTTCTACAGAGGCAAAATTAAATAAATATAAAATCTAAGAGTGTGTTTAGTAGAGTATTTTGAATAGTATTTTTGAAAATTTTGAATTGGATTGTTATTACGAGAATATGATTTAAAAATTAACAAACATCCCTAATTTGTTAATTTAGCAAAATACCTCCTATAATAAAACATTAAAATTAACAAAAACACTCACACCCACCATTAAATGCCGAAAGCCGGCTACCACCACGGAGGGTGGATGGAAGTTGCCAGAATGGCGCACGACTGGCTGGATTTGGCCGGTCGTGTCCCGATCTAGCCTTTTCGTCTAGATCACCATGGATCTGGTCGGAAAAGACCAAATCTACGACAACTATTTGGCTGTTGACGGTCACCCTACGGTGGTGGTGGCTAACATCGGCATTTAATGGCCAACTAAAAGCATAGAAAATTTTTCATTGTTGGATTTCTAGTAGGAATAAAAATAATCAGAATCATGCACCTTCACCCCTTTTATTTATTTATTTGTTTTGTTGGGTTCCCTAGAAGAGAATTGAAACTAAAATTCTTATGCAAGTGTTTAACACTAAGCAGGATACATTTCTTGAGAAATTCTTCTTTTGTTTAAACAAGAACAAGAGCCATGCAGGTGAAAACAACTTAATAGGAATCTACTGCTTAAAGGCTATAATCAATAAGTTACTTGTTTCTGAAGTCACTGATTCAAAGATGATATTTTTTATCTTCCATTAGCAATAGTTTTTGGATCTTAATCTGTGGCATGGAGTCAGATTCCATTGTACTTTTCAATCTTAGAGAAAGCTTTAGAATCCCTTTGGTTTGATTCATTTGGACTACCTCATCAATTTGATTGGACCAATCATGTATAAATTGTAGCTATGAGTATTTAAGCAAGTTTTATCTGGTATTGTTGCTTTTCTGCTGAGTATTTCTGATATTCTTGTTGCAATTAAGATCCATGCTCCCATCTGTGCCTCCTTATGGATGAAACCATTCTCTTTCTGTTAATTTTAAAAGCATCTCCCAGTTTAAGGGTTTTCTGCCAAACATTCACAAAAAGCCACCTATAAAGTGGGCCAAAAAAAACTATATAAAATTATTAAAACTTGGATCATCTGAAATTACAAGAATGATGTAAGAAAGGGGACATGGAAACTTCAGCAAAGGTTCCAATAGAATTGTTATGAGACTGCTTTAATTTACAACTTTGGACTTTAATTGAATGTTGATTAAAATATTTATCAGATGACTGGAGATTGGATTCTGATACATTAATGACAAGTAGCTGATATCATATCACTGATGTAAGGGTCCTTTGGTGTTAATCAAGAGTTGCATACTTTTATTTTGTTTTAACAACTTTGTTGATCTTCCCATTCAAAGCAAAATCTGTAACATTACAATTCTACACGTCTCTAATAGAATATGAATCAAATCTAATAGTTCAGCTCCAGCTAGCATTCACTACAAACAACACAAGAAACCACAAACATCAGATTCATGGCAATTCTTTTTCCTTTGTTTTTTCTTTCTTTTCTTTTGTTGTCCCATTCATCCTGTCACTAACTCAAGCATATAAATATATATTCAGCCTGTCATCTTTGAATAAAATTCTCATTCTTATGCAAGTGACATTATTTATATTCAATAAACAAAGAAAAACTAAAGTTGATCATGCGTGAAAAAGATAGAATCAACAATGAATTACACATAAAGTTTCTTCTTAGTTCTCATCTCGGAACCGAATAGGTTTTTGAAAACACACATTTCAAGTACATTTTTGTTAAGGTGCTTTTCCTTCAAGATAATACCTTAAAAAATACAAAAAAGTTGACTAGAGCTAGAGCAGAGAAATTGTCACTGTTGTAGGGTATCAGGAATAGAATTAATCTGAATCATGCACCTTCAGCCCTCTTATTTGTTTATTGTCTTGTTAGGTCCACAGAAAGAGAATTGAAACTAAACTTCTCATGCAAGTGTTTAACACTTAGCAGTATCCATTTCTGGAGAAATTCTATTCTAGTATGAACAAGAACAAGAGCCATGCAGATGAAAACAAGTTAATAGGAATCTGCAGCTTAAAGGCTATAATCAATTAGTTACTTGCTTCTGAAGTCACTGATTCAAAGATAAGAAATTTGGTCTTTCTTTAGCAACTCTTTTTGAATCTTAATCTGTAGGATGGAGTCAAATTCCATTACCTCATCAGTTTGATTGGATCAATCTTTACAAAAATTGTAGCATGGTATGTATAATCAGCAAAAAAGCCACAATTACTGAATAAAACTTGCTTAAACACTCATAACTTATGCTTATAGTAGTTCTGAAATCCTTTTTGATTGATTCGCATTAGCATTTAAGATCAATTCTCCCCTCTGTGGCCTTCCTTAGCGATGATACTATTCTCTCTTTCAGATATTAGATAAGCACTTCCCTGTAAAATACTTCAGGAGTTTACTGTCAAACATTCACAAAAAAGTCCTGCACATAAATGTACAAACTTGGATCATCTGAAGTTATAAAAATGATGTAAGAAAGGGAATATGGAAACTTCCGCAAAGGATCAAATAGCATTGTTATAAGGCTGCTTCAATTGAATGTTGATTAAAATATTTATCAGATGACTGGAAATTGGATTCTGATACATTGATGACATGTAGCTGATATCATATCACTGATGTAAGGGGTCCTGTTAATCAAGAGTTACATATATTTATTTTGTCTTAACAAATTCATTGATCTTCCCATTAAAGGCAGAATCTGTAACATTACAATTCTTCACGTCTCTAATAGAATATTAATCAAACCTAATAGTTCGAATCAACTCCAGCAAACATTCACTACAAACAACAGAAGAAACCACTAGGACTAAATTCATGGCAACTCTTTTTCCTTTGTTTTTTCTGTTATTTTTTTTTGGCTGTCCATTCAGATTGTCACTAACTCAATTATATGAACGTATATTTAGCCTGTCATCTTTGAATAATATCTCACTCTTATGCAAGTGGCATTATTTATATTCCACAGACCATGAAAAACTAAAGTTGATCATGCAAGAAATAGACAGATATCAGGAAGTGAATTACACATATAGTCTTCTTAATTTCATCTCGAAACTGAATAGGTGTGCAAAAACACACTTGTCAAGTACTTTTTTGAGTGCTTCATTCAAACCTAGAGCATAGAACCTGGCACTGTTGGATAGTAGAGAAATAGTTTAAGAATTCAGAATCATGCATCTTCACCCCTCTAATTTATTGTTTTGTTATGTCCCCTAGAAGAGAATTGAAGCTAAAATGCACGAACAAGGGCCATGGCAAGAACAAAACTCAAGGAACTGACGGGGGCTAGAAAACAAACATAGGAATCTACTGCTCAAACTTAAAGAGTATTAACAATTTAGTTGCTTTCGCAATGTCACCGATACAAAGTTATTATAGAATCCCTCGGCGATTCATTTGGTTGACTCTCTCATCCATTTTGTTGATCAGCTGTAACATTAGTTGCAGCCTGGTGTGCCATATCAGCAGAAAGCCACAACACAAAAATAAAATGAAAATAAACACTATATGACAAATGAGAGAAAACACTATATGAAAGATACATGTAGTCTAAAATTCAGTGAATTTATATGTGAATCGTAACTTTTCGTTTTCCTAACTGTAGTAATCTGCAACACTTGCATAAAAGATAGAAGATAAATTCAGAATGAATACAATAAAATCAAACCAACAACATTTTATTGACTTATTTACAAACAATATCATGATTTACACACACAATACAAACTAAAACCAATATAGCCTTGCTGCTAATAAGCTCCAGCATATTCCAATAAACAACCACTGCTGATCATCCTCATTTACAGACATTATGTCCAAATCAATCTAATAGCTAGCTTGCTGCTATCAGCTCAAGCTTGTATCCTAGCAACATCACTGTGCAATTCAGTTGCTATTCTGCAAGTTGTACAATATATTTACACAACACACTGATAGCCACACTATTTACAAATTTAAAAGATATATCCAAGCCTTCACAAGTTGTGAAACCATTGTTGGTCGAATTCTCGGTAGCTTCAAGATCAATTCTCCCCTCCTTTATCTGCCTTTTTGATGAAACCATTCTCTTTCACAGGCTTGGCTGAAGTTTCATCACCTTTCACATTCTCCTTAGCAGAATCAGTACACTTGTCCTCCTTTTTCTCTTCTTTCTCTGCCTTTGAGCGCACTTCTTCCTCAGCCTTCTTTACTGCTTCCTCCTTCACCACCTTAAGAGCTTCAATCAGATTCTTCAAACAAGTCTCTGCATCATCCTCATCAGACTTTGGCATCAAATTCTCTGCTACATCTGCAGGAATCATATTTCTTTCTGCCAACTGATTGTCAACTTCTGCAAACAGCTCATGTGAGTCAATATCTAAATAATTCTTGGCTAGCACCTTGAATGTTTCAAAGCCATAATAGGACATTTCAATACGCTTGTCCGTCCTTCCTCTCCTGATAGCTGCTGGATCAAGTTTGTCCACATAATTAGTAGTGAACACAATGACCGTTTCTCCCACACAAGCTGACCAGAGGCCATCAATGAAATTCAAAAGCCCTGATAAAGTAACCTTACTTTCTTTGCTTTCATTCTCTTCTTTCAGTGCCTTACACATAAAGTTTCTTAAGTTACATCTCGAAACCGGCTGGTTTGCAAAACACACATGTCAACTACTCTTTTATAAGGTGCTTTTCATTCAAACCCTTAAAAAGAATTTCTTGAAAATTTACCTATTAAATACAGAAAGTTTCCTAAAGCATAGAACCTGTCACTGTTGAATATCTGGCAGAAAAAGAATCAGAATTCAGAATCATGCATCTTTACCCCTCCTATTCATTTATTAGTTTGGTTGGGTCCCCTAGAAGAAATTTAGACTAAAGTTCTTGTACAAGTGTTTCATACTAATCAGTGTCCATTTCTTGGGAAATTCTTTTATACTTGGTACAAGAACAAGGGTAACCATAGGAATCTACTGCTTAAAGGCCATAAATTAGTTATCTGCTTCTGCAATGTCACGGATTCAAAGATACCGATAGAATCTCTTTGGTTTGATTCATTTGGACTGCCTCATCAGTTTTTTTGGATCAACCTTAACGTAAGTTGTTGCCTACAGGTCTTTTAATCAGGAGAAAATCCACAACTGAATAAAACTTGCTTAAACACTCATAGATAATGTTTACAGTAGTTCTGAAATCCTTTTATTGCTTGAATTTGCAATAGCATTTAAGATCAATATTCCCCTCTTCGGCCTTCCTTATCGATGAAACCATTCTCTTCCAAAGGATTACATAAACCCTTCACTGTGTCAAAATATTCACAGGAAGTCCCGCACATAAATGCAAAAACTACACAAGGGGATGAAATATTTTATAAAATAAAACAAACTTGGACCTTCTGATTTTCCAAGAGTGAAGTAAGAAAGGGAGCATGGAAACTTCAGCAAAGATTCCAAAAGCATTGTTATAAGGGTGATTTTGGATTCTGATACATTGGTGACATGCACCATGATATCAGAGCACTGATGTAAGGGTCCCTTAGCTGTTAATATAAGAGTTAAATATATGTTTTGTCTTTGATCTCCCCGTTAAGTAGAGAATTTGTAACACAATGATTCTTCACGTCTCTGTTGGCGACTCGAATTCAGGGCATTAAATAAATTTATTCCTAAACTTTAGATTATCAATCAAACACATCATGATTGCCTCAGTATGCCTTAACTGTAATTTAAAGTAATTACATCAAAGAAACATAATGGTCACAAGGAAAAACAAGAGGTGATCTAATCAGCTAAAGCATATTCAGCTAATCTGCTATACAAACAATCACTGCTAATCATCATAATTTGCACACATAGGATACAAATCTAATCTAATAGCTTGCTGCTAACCAGCTCCAGCTAGCATTCACTATAAACAATCACTATGCAACAGTTGCTTATTCTGCAAGATATACAATACATTTACATAAACACTGATAGCCACACTAGCGCCAAACTTACAAGATTATAACCAAGTCTTCACAAGTTGTGAAACCATTTTTAACATCAATTCTCCCCTCCTTTATCTTCCTCATAGATGAAACCATTCTCTTTCACAGACTTAGCTGAAGTCTCATCCCCTTTCACGTTCTCTTTAGTAGAATCAGTACACTTTTCCTCCTTTTCTTTCTCGGCCTTTAAGCGCGCTTCTTCCTCAACCTTCTTTATGGCTTCCTCCTTTGCCTCCTTAAGAGCTTCAATCAGATTCTTCAAACAAGTCTCTGCATCATCCTTATCAGACTTTGGCATCAAATTCTCTGCAACATCTGCAGGAATCATATCGGTTTCGGCCAACTGATTGCCAACTTCTGCAAACAGCTCATGTGAGTCGATATCTAAATAATTCTTGGCTAGCACCTTGAATGCTTCAAAGCCACANAGCATATTCAGCTAATCTGCTATACAAACAATCACTGCTAATCATCATAATTTGCACACATAGGATACAAATCTAATCTAATAGCTTGCTGCTAACCAGCTCCAGCTAGCATTCACTATAAACAATCACTATGCAACAGTTGCTTATTCTGCAAGATATACAATACATTTACATAAACACTGATAGCCACACTAGCGCCAAACTTACAAGATTATAACCAAGTCTTCACAAGTTGTGAAACCATTTTTAACATCAATTCTCCCCTCCTTTATCTTCCTCATAGATGAAACCATTCTCTTTCACAGACTTAGCTGAAGTCTCATCCCCTTTCACGTTCTCTTTAGTAGAATCAGTACACTTTTCCTCCTTTTCTTTCTCGGCCTTTGAGCGCGCTTCTTCCTCAACCTTCTTTATGGCTTCCTCCTTTGCCTCCTTAAGAGCTTCAATCAGATTCTTCAAACAAGTCTCTGCATTATCCTTATCAGACTTTGGCATCAAATTCTCTGCAACATCTGCAGGAATCATATCGGTTTCGGCCAACTGATTGCCAACTTCTGCAAACAGCTCATGTGAGTCGATATCTAAATAATTCTTGGCTAGCACCTTGAATGCTTCAAAGCCACAATAGGACATTTCAATATGCATGTCCATCCTTCCTCTTCTGATAAGTGCTGGATCAAGCTTGTCCACAAAATTAGTAGTGAACACAATGATTCTTTCTCCCCCACAAGCTGACCAAAGGCCATCAATGAAATTTAAAAGCCCAGATAGAGTAACCTTACTTTCTTTGCTTTCATTCTCTTCTTTCAGTGCCTTTTTAATGATATTTTTCTCCCCTTTATCCGCAGCTTTCTTCTTTTTCTTCTCGCGCTGACCAGTAAGATCAAGTGAGCAATCAATGTCCTCTATAACTATCATAGATTTATTTGTTGTCTCAATCAAAAGACTTCTCAACTCTGAGTTGTCCGCGACTGTGGTAAGTTCAAGATCATAGACATCATAGTTCAACAAATTGGCCATGGCAGCAATCATGGTTGATTTGCCAGTTCCTGGAGGGCCATAAAGGAGATACCCTCTCTTCCAAGCCTTCCCAATTTTTGAATAGTACTCTTTAGCCTCACTGAACTTCTTGAGGTCATTCTTGATCTCTTCCTTCTTCTCTGTCTCCATTGCCAATGAATCAAAAGTTGCAGGATGCTCAAAAGGGACATGGCTCCACTTTCTTTCTCTCCCGCCACTCTTATTCTTGATATTACTGAACAGCTTTCGCTGACGGTTCTTCACTGCAATAGCCTTTCCTTCATCAAACACATGCTTAACATAAGACCCTGTGATGAGTTCTCGATGACGTTTATGGAATTTAAGCTTGTAATATCTCTTCTCATCCGAACCTGCAAAAATAGAAATTGATTGTGTTTTGGGAGGAGTCTTATGACTCAATACCCACCAAACTTTGACCCCATTAAACTCATCTAATACCTCCTCTCTTTCGTGCACGCTAAGGATCACAGACTGGCTACCTTCCATAACATCAGCCTTAAATCTTTTAGCCTGCAAAGAGGCGTTGGTACTGAGATAGTTTTGTATGGCAGAGAAGATTTCATTAGGCTTTAGATATTTACCAGTGTACTCATCAAAGGTAACTTCAATGTAAGGACTCAAAAAGCGAAACAATTTGTGATTAATTCTTACAAAATAGAGCCGGAAGTAAGTGGGGAAGAAAGTTCTAAACATAACTGATGCAACAGTTGCACTAGTTACAACTGAGGTTAGAGTAACCCAGAACTCTCCCATTGACACCATTTTGCTCTACTTTGTTGCTCTTTCAGAACTTACATGTCTACTATTATATAGAGTCTTGTTGCTTGCTGATGAAGTTACAAGAAGCCGTCACCATCTCCTTTTTTTTTTTTTCTAAGTTGGCTTCCAATATGAAATTAAATAAGTATCAGTGGAAAGAACAACGGAAGCAACCACAAACACTAAGGTTAATGGCCATTCTTTTTCCTCTGTTTTTTCTGTCGTTNAGTCTTGTTGCTTGCTGATGAAGTTACAAGAAGCCGCCACCATCTCCTGTTTTTTTCTAAGTTGGCTTCCAATATGAAATTAAATAAGTATCAGTGGAAAGAACAACGGAAGCAACCACAAACACTAAGGTTAATGGCCATTCTTTTTCCTCTGTTTTTTCTGTCGTTTATTTTGTTGTCCATTCATCCTGTGGCTAACTCAAGTAGGAAAATATATTTCCAGCCAACCAGCTTTGACTAACATCAGTGACGGATCTAGGAATTTCACACTATGGGGGCAAAAATAAACCAAAAAAAAATTAAAATCAATCATAAACATATATTTTTTTTTTTATAACGATGAACTTCAACAAAAAGTTACAAAATACAAATAAATATCTTAAAAAAACACAATTTTTTGTAAAAATAAAACAAATTTTCTATAATTGTCCTCGACGAGTTTTCATATTCTGAAAACTTTAGATAATCATCTCATCGTCAATTGTATCAAATACATCTTTCTCAATATAAGTGACCAAACAATCATCCATCTATTGATCTCTCATTCAATTGTGTAACTGACTTTTCACAAGATTCATTAAAAAAAAAAAAAAAAAAAAGGCCCTTTCTACGGTCAGAGTCACAATTGGTAAAACCAATGCAACTTTTACAAGCCTATACACCAATGGATACAAAATGTTTTTTTTAAACCAAACTGAATTCTTAGCCAAATCACCAATTCCTTGTAACTCAGCAAATTCATCACAATAATGCATATCAATAACATAAGTCTCAGTCTGGTTTTCAAGTATCATCAACTCAAGTGCAGAAAAATCAAATGGATAAAACTAACCAAACCCATTCTTCCCTCTCTTCTCTTTTTCCTTTTCCTTTGCTTCTTCTTCCTTTCATCTTTATGAGTTTTTCTCTCTTCTTCTTCATTTTGGGCGAACAACCCAGTTTATGTATAAAACAGCTTCTTAGAATTATGAAACTGTCCGAAAAGTCTCTTATTCACCATGACCCTGCCACATCAACTTTCTATTTTAAAAATACTCAGATTGCTCCCCTCAGTTACATGCAAACCTTGTAGCTCTTATTACTTTCATTTTCACTCCTAATAAAACTTTTAAAAACTAACATATCCTCTTGCATAAAAATAAAAATCACAAAAAATATGAAATATATATATTAGGATTAAAAATGGGGTTTTACAAAAACAAAATCCAAACTTACCGTGGGGGTCGTTTCATTCCCAAAATCTCAAAGTTCTACAGAGGCAAAATTTAAATAAATATAAAATCTAAGAGTGTGTTTAGTAGAGTATTTTGAATAGTATTTTTGAAAATTTTGAATTGGATTGTTATTACGAGAATATGATTTAAAAATTAACAAAACATCCCCTATATTTGTTAATTTAGCAAAATACCTCCTATAATAAAACATTAAAAATTAACAAAAACACTCACACCCACCCATTAAATGCCGACAGCCGGCTACCACCACCGGAGGGTGGATGGAAGTTGCCAGAATGGCGCACGACTGGCTGGATTTGGCCGGTCGTGTCCCGATCTAGCCTTTTTCGTCTAGATCCACCATGGATCTGGTCGGAAAAGACCAAATCTACGACCAACTATTTGGCTGTTGACGGTCACCCTACGGTGGTGGTGGCTAACATCCGGCATTTAATGGCCAACTATTTCACTTCACTGCAACCATATCTTGAGAAATTTTTCTGTACTTTGAACAAGAACAAGGACCATCTACATGAAAACAACTTAACAGAATCTACTGCTTTAAAGGCTATAATCAAACAGTGACTTGCTTCTTCAATGTCACTGATTCAAAGATGATAATCAGCTTAAAACAACTTCTTTGGCAATGAGTGTAAGGACCAAAGTGTGTGAAATTATACCTAAATTTTTATTCTAGTTCTGAAATCCTGTTGCTTGACTCCCTGGTAACGTTAAAGATCAATTCCCCCCTCTGTAGCCTTCATTATCTATGAAATATTGCTCATTAAACGAATTTTATATCAGCTCTTCACTATAAATCACTTTAGAGCTTTCTATCAAACATCAAAAAAAGGTCCTACACATAAATGTACAAACCACAGGATGGGATAAAATTTTATATACAATTAATAAAACTTGACCATCTGAAGTTATAAGAATGATGTGAAAAAGGGAACAAGGAAACTTCAGCAAAGGTTCCAATAGCATTATTATAAGAGTGATTTTGGCTCAAGTTACACCTACTTGTAGACTGACTCTTTCTGGCTATATATTTTGTTTATTGCCACTAATTTGGAACTTCAAACCATCACTTGCATAGATAGATGTATGATAAATTGATGATGATGAATATGGGAGAATAAAAAATAATAACCTTTAATTAACTTAATAATTAACATCATAATATCTGTTAAGGTCGCATTTACCATATGTGCTAGGCTTATGGATTAATCAGCATACATATGGGGGTTTCATTTCCTAAATAATTTTAAAAAAAAAAAAGGTAAATCTATAATAAACAAACCAGAACTAAGGCCACTGGGTGAACAGAGCTGCAACTATTAGGTTGTTTCTCCTCCATCTCCATCTCCATCTCATTAGTTTAAGTATGAGGCTTTGCACTCAGAGAAGGAAGAAGAGCTTGCTGCTTCTTCTCTCTGATGGTTAGTGAAGCCAGCGATCACTCCATTTTCAGCTCTCTCAATCTCAATCTCAATGCTGTGATGATTGATTATGATTTTGTTTTCTTTGTTCTGTGTGTGTTTTACTGGTTTGTAAATTGAAATTCAAGCATTTTGACAAGTTTTTTTTTAGAGGCACTCTCTTGTTTTACCCAAAAAAAAGCTTGGATTTCTGGTTCAAAATCCAATCTTTCAAGAGGGTTTTCTTTGGATTCTCTAGTTGAGCGACAATGGCATTTTGGTTTTAGCCCAGGCACTTGCCAATTCAAATGGGTTTGCTTAAAATTTGTAGATTCTAGTTAGAAGGTTATGAATATGAATACTTTTGAATTCTAGCAGACTTGAAATTTTCTTGCAAGTTTACTTTAGCTGAATCCTGAAGCTTCATGACACCAAATGGAAAATATCTCTTTCATTATAAGAAAAGAAACTATGAAGAATATCAAAATAAGGAAGAAAAACCACTATGCAAAGTTGCTTATTCTGCAATATCAAAATACATAAACGCTGAGAGCGTTTCAGCAACAAATTTTCAAGATTTTATCATTGTCTTCACAAGTTTTGACATTCCTGTTGCATGAATCCTCAGTATTATCAAGATCAATTCTTCCCTCATTTAACTTCCTTATCTATGGAACCATTCTCTTTCACTGAATTAGCTGCAGTTTCATCGCCTTTCTTGTTCTCTTCCTTAGAATCAGCCTCCTTCGCCTTCTCCTCCTTCTCCTTCTCTTCTTTCTCTGCCTTTAGCCGTGCTTCTTCCTCAGCCTTCTTTATGGCTTCCTCCTTCGCCACTTTAAGACCTTCAATCAAATTCTTCAAACATGTCTCTGCATCATCCTCATCAGACTTCGGCATCAAATTCTCAGCAACATCAGCTGGAGTCATATTGGTTTCTGCCAACTGATAGCCAACTTCCGCAAACAACTCATGTGAGTCGATGTCTAAATAATTCTTGGCTAGCACCTTGAATGCCTCAAGACCACAATAGGACATTTCAATGTGCTTGTCCATCCTTCCTCTCCTGATAAGTGCTGGATCAAGCTTGTCCACATAATTTGTAGTGAACACAATAAGTCTTTCTCCCCCACAAGCTGACCAAAGGCCATCAATGAAATTCAAAAGCCCGGATAAAGTAACCTTACTTGCTTTGTTTTCACCATCTTCTTTCATCTTCTTTTCAATGGGATTTTTCTCCTCTTCATCCCCATCTTTCTCCTTTTTCTTCTCACGCTGACCAGTAAGATCAAGCGAGCAATCAATGTCCTCAATAACAATGATTGACTTGTTTGTTGTCTCAATTAACAGACTCCTCAGCTCTGAGTTGTCCATGACCGTGGTAAGTTCAAGATCATACACATCATAGTTCAAATAATTGGCCATGGCTGCAATCATGGTTGATTTACCAGTTCCTGGAGGGCCATAAAGGAGATACCCTCTCTTCCAAGCCTTCCCAATTTTCGTATAGTACTCTTTTCCCTCTCTGAACTTCTTGAGGTCTTTCTTGATCTCCTCCTTCTTCTGTGTCTCCATTGCCAATGTATCAAATGTCGCAGGATGCTCAAATTGTACATGGCTCCACTTTGTTGATCTCCAGCCATACCAATTTTTGCTAGGATTGTTACTGAATAGCTTGCGCTGCCGCTCCTTCACTGCAATGGCCTTTCCTCCATCAAACACATGCTTTACATAAGACTTTGTGATGAGTTCTCTGTGGCTCTTATGGAAAGTGAGCTTGTAAAACCGCTTCTCATCCGCAGCTGGATAAAAAGAAAATTGTTGTGTTCTGGGGATTGTCTTACCCAATACCCACCAAACCTTGATCCCTTCAAACTCATCTGTCACCTCTTCTCTATCCTCCATGCTAAGAACCAAAGACTGGCTATCTTTCACAACATCAGCCTTGAACCGAGTAGCATGCAACGAGGCTTTGGTACTGAGATAATTCTGTATGGCAGAGAAGGCTTCACTACGCTTCATACGTCCACCAGAGAATTCATCAAACCGAATTTCAATGTAAGGATAAAGGAACCGAACCAACTTTAGACTATATTTTTCGACATAGCCCCAAAGTTGATAAGGGAAGTATTGCTTGAAAATAGCTGATACAAACATAGCACTTGCTACAACTGAGCCTAGAGTGGCCCATAACTCTCCCATCGTCACCATTTTGCTCTACTCTCTTGCTCTTTCTGATATAATTTTTTTTTTTTTTCTTTAGACTGTCAAGATGGAAAGGATTATATAGTGCCTTGAGACTTGTTGATTAAGTTATAAATTGCCTGTGAGTGTATGAGGGGCTTCCATTGTGGAAATACTTAAAAGATTCAAGGGTCAATTACAGGTTCATTGTTTTATTTTGTATTTCTGTCTTATGTGTGGCATGTCTCATTCATCCTGCCCCCAAGTTAACTCAAGTCTATATTAATCTTTGACCGCACATGATTTTTATGCAAATGCCATTTTTTATACTCCAAAACCAAAGAAATTGAAGTTGATGGTCCATGAAAAAACACATTATTAGAAAACAAAACCTTATGATGTTGCAACAGTAGAGTAAGAAAGGGTGCATGGAAACTTCACAGCAAAGTTTCCAATAGCATTATTTTCTCATAATGTGGACAAATTAAAAACATGTGCAGCTTTCTCTATTGTCTCTTCTCTTTCCACATAAATACGAATAGATGCCAATTTCTTTGTCTGTACTTGCGAGTTTTCTAATATATCAGTTGACTAGTTGTTTTCTATGTCAAGCTGTTAAGTTTCTATTCTATATTATACTGCAAGACATAATCTTCCGGTTGACCGGTTTGCAAACCGGTTTCATTAAAAAGCTTTCCTTTTCTTTTCTTTTTTTTATATCTTATGATCAAACAATTTCCTATATTTTTGGATGACAAAATTTTAAGAGATAAAAAAACCAAATGATCCACAACAATTTGACCAATTAAGCATCAATTAATGCTAATGAATTCTTCTCATCCGAGCATAATAACTAATCATCATCAATTACATTATCATAAAATATAAAGTGTTCTTTTAAATTTTAATGGCCAAGTACAAAAGTGATTAAGAAAATAACAAGTGAAAGTTGCAAACTGGAGTCTCCCCTCCACTTTAAGGCTTAAGCAGTCTTCAATTGGCCAAGTGTAATCACATAATCACCTACAAGAGGAATGCAAAACTTACATTTACTCTCTCTATTACCTTTCAAAAACTAATAATTTAAATGGATTGATATTATGTTTTAAGGCCAAATATCATAATAGAGTATGCAAAAGGATTGATTCCAACAATTATTAAATGATATCCTAGGAACATTATAATGAGAAAATAATCAAAATATCAATAAGCATATTCAGATAGTAGTTGTACAAAATATCTAAATGATTATCAATGGATTTTTTACAGATAAATGTTCAAAGAGTAGTTGGATGTGGAGAAGCCAAGGATGTGATATGTGGTATTGTGGATAAACTTAGAGCTGACACCTTGATCATGGGAAGCCACGGTTATGGTTTCATCAAAAGGTATCACTTTTGAACTAACTCAATTTTATTTGAGTAGAAAAACTGTCTAATGCTAATGCTGATTATTTTAACAGGGCTCTTCTGGGAAGTGTGAGTGATTATTGTGCCAAGCATGTCAAGTGTCCAGTGGCAATCGTGAAGCATGGGGAGGAGATATGAAATTAGTTTCTATTCCTTAAATATGATGAATGATTCTAACAGATTACACGAAATTACACAAAACATTTAAGAAGTACACAATGTTGGAGTTGTCGACTACTTCAGCATTAATGGGTAACGGAGACGCACTCAGGGATCCCGCTGCCCAGTCAGCGGGCAGGTGCCCCGCTCCCCGGTGAGCGAGCGGGGGTCGCGGGGGCAATGCCCCCGAGCCCGTAGACGGTTTTGGGCTTTTCCATGTATAACCGCTGTAGGATTTCTTTTAAGTTATTAATTCCTTTTTGGGTTGGGCTTAGGAATAGGAATCCTTGTAAAACTAGGTTTAATCTCTTAAACCTAGTATATAAACATACTTTTCTCTTGTTATGAGTGTGAGAGCAATTCATTCATTGTAAACGAGAGAGGTGAGGCATATTGCAATAATATTGACTCAGCTGGACGTAGCCTACATTGGGTGAACCAGGGTAAATCGCGCGTATTACATTCTTTGTTTACTGTTTGTTTTGTTTAACTATTATTATTTTGTTCCTGTTGCTTCTCTATTTCGTTCAATTGGTATCAGAGCAAGGTTCTGTTAGATCGTGATTTAGAGATGGCGGGATCAAAGGTTGAGATTGAGAAGTTCGACGGCAAACGCTTCGAGCTCTGGAAACTGCGGATGGAGGATCTACTCGTTGATAGGGACCTGTGGGGTGCAATTGTGAATGATAGGCCAACAGTCGGGACTGCCGTTGTTACAACGAGTGAAACGTCTGGAACTGGATTGTCAAGTACACTTGGGTCTAAACCTGCTGAAGGAGAATTATCAGCGACTGATCGTGCCGCACTTGCTGAATGGGACAAGATGGATCGGAAAGCCAGAGGTTTGATTCGCATCTGTCTTGAGGACTCTGTTCTAACGAATGTGATGGATCAGGATACGGCTAAGGGTTTATGGCAGAAGCTGGAAAATATGTATCTGAGTAAGTCTTTGGTGAACGTGCTGTTCCGTCACAAGAAACTCTACAATCTCCATATGCATGATGGGATTCTCTTGTTGCACATCTGGATGAGTTTAATACTCTGGTGAATCAACTGCTGGCTGTGGTGTACAACTCACCGAATCTGAGAAAGTGGTAACACTGTTATGCTCGCTGCCTGATACGTGGGACAATCTGATTGTTGCGATTGGTGGTGGAGGATTGACACAAATGTAATGGGAATCTGTATATTCTAAATTGTTGGCAGAGGATATGCGGCGAAGAGGTTCAGAGGGTTCGTCTAGGGATGCTTTAACTGCTAGGGGACGAAACCTTGATAGGAATTCTAATAAGTCTAGCGACAGGGGAAAGTCGCGAGGTAGATCTAAGAGCAATGATAAAAGTAAGATTAAATGCTAGAGATGTCAGGAATTTGGGCATTTTAAGAAAGACTGCAGAAAAAACCGGTGAAGGGGAAGGAAGCTGAAACTTCGTACAAACGGGAATCAAATGGTGATATGTATGTGGCTGCTACATGTATGGCTAGATCAGACCAATCAGTTTGGTATGTTGATACTGGTGCGTCATTCGATATGACACCTCACAAGGAATGGTTTTGTGAGTATGAGACATACAATGGAGGAAACGTTCTGTTAGGAGATGATACTGCTGTGAAGATTATTGGTCGCGGGAAAATCAGGCTGAGGTTGCATGATGGTTCAGTGAGGATGCTCCCTGAAGTGATGCACATCCCTGGTATGAGTAGAAATCTGCTCTCTATTGGAACAATGGCTGACGCAGGTATAGTATTCAATTGTGACATAACATCCTGTAAGATGACTCGGGGATCTATGGTTATTGCACGAGGAGTTCGACATGGTACACTATACAGGCTACAAGCATCAGTTGTAAGACATTCCTCTTTGGGTGGTTATGTTTCGGAAAAGGAGGCTGAAAAAGAAATTGATTTTGCAACATTGTGGCATCAGCGAATGGGGCACATTGGAGAGTCGGCTTTGTCTACTTTGGTGACTCAGAATATGGCTAAAGGTATTCCTAACTGTTCCATGAGTTTTGGGTTTTGTGAGGAATGTTTACAAGGCAAGCAAAATCGGGTTAGTTTTCAATCGATAGGCACGAGAGCAACAAAAATACTGGAGTTAATTCAAAGTAACGTTTTTGGGCCCACTCCAGTGGAATCTGTTGGTAAATCCAGGTATTATGTATCTTTCATTGATGATTTTTCTAGATACTGTTGGGTTTATTTCATGCGCAGCAAGTCTGAGGCTTTTGAGAAATTTCGGGAATTTAAAGCCTTAGTTGAGAATCAGTTTGATAGGAAGATTAAAGCTTTGCAAACTGATAATGGCGGTGAGTTTGCTCTAGTAATTTTGAGCAATTTTGTGCAACACACGAATTGCAAGCAAAACTACACCTTACACGCTCACACAAAATGGAGTGGCTGAACTCTCAATCGATCACTGTTGAGAAGGCTAGATGTATGCTGAATACGACGATTTGGGGTCTGAATTTTGGGCTGAAGACTTGCAATGGCTTGTTATTTGAGAATTGGTCTCCCACTTCTTCTGTTAAAGACATGACGCCATATGAAGCTTTATGGTAAGAAACCTAATCTGTCTTTTATTCGAGTTTTTGGTTGTGATGCGTAGGTGCATGTGCCAAGGAGAAGAGAAGCAAGCTTGACAGCAAGTCTGAGAAGTGCAAGTTTGTGGGGTTCAAAGATGGCATCAAGGGATACAAGTTGTGGAACCCTGTGAGTAGAAGCATTATCTACAGCAGAGATGTAATCTTTAGAGAGGTAAAACAACGTGTTGGCCTCTTGAAGATCTTGAGCAGTTAAAGAAAATTCAGTTTGATGTGACTACAGTAGAGCAAGAGGAGGAGATGACTCCTAGTTGCTGTAGAGACTGAAATTTAGAGTCTACAGAATCTGACCATGAAGTAAACTTGATGTGTGGCTGATGAGGGTTCTGTGGTGATTTTGAGGACTATTCTGATGATAAAGTTGTGGTGCCATCAACTTTGAGGAGATCTACAAGAGTTAGAAAGGCACCAGTTCGTTTCTCTCTAAGTGCCTTGAGTGGATTACTGCTTTGAATGTGATTGGTGATGAACCTAGGAATGTAAATGAAGCAAGAGCCATGGAAGATGCAAATCTGTAGGAGGTTGCAATGAATGATGAGATGCAGTCACTGGACAAGATAATACTGGACCCTATGAAATTGCCTAAGGATAGAAAGGAATTGTTGCAAGTGGGTGTTCAAAAGAAAGTTGCAGGCAGATGGGACAATTGCAAAGTATAAGGCGAGACTCGTTGCAAAGGGAATCTCGCAGATTGAGGGTGTTGATTATGGTGAGATTTTCTCTCTTGTGGCCAAGTTAACATCAATCAGGTATGTTCTATCTATTGCTGCTGCGTTTGATCTTGAAATTGACAACTTGATGTAAAGACGGCATTCTTACATGGAGATTTAGAGGAGGAAATTTCCATGAGGCAACTGAGAGGTTTGTATGTAAAGGGAAGAAGACTTGGTGGGTAGGTTGAGGAAGTCTCTGTA